TGTGTAGGGACCTGCCCCCACCCCAGCATCAGGGTAGGGGTGGGTCCCCACACAAGCTGATTTGTGCGGGGCCCCACACCCTCCTCAGGTCGACTCCAGTATGGGGCATATCAGCTCATGTGGGGACACACCTCCTGTTATCTGGCAAGCAGATTGGGGCCCCCTGCACTCCCGGGAGTTGTCGGCAGAGCTGATATGCCCTAGGTGCTGTTTTGCCCTAGGCCCTGTACTAGAGCTGGCCCAAGGGGGATGCGGGGCCAGGGGCAAATTAGCTTGTGCAGGGACCCACCCCCATCCTGGGACTGGGGTGGGGGCAGGTCCCTGCATGAGCTGATTTGCCCCGGGCCTGCCTTTTGCTGGGCCCAGGCAGCAGCACCAGCCTCCTGTGATCTGGGAGGGCTGTGGGGGCTGTGCTGGACTCCTCCCGGTGGTGTGGTCCTCCAATCTGCCTGCCAGATGACAGGAGGCTGGTGCTGCCAGCTGGGGCCAGCAGCAGCACCAGTCTTCCCGGTGCTGGATGGCCGAAACTTTGAAATAACATTGAAACAGCAAAACTGTTTCGATGAAATGAAACAAAATGGAACAGTGCTTTTGAAATGAAACAAAACTTGAAATGAAACACTGTTCCATTGAAACATCAAAATGGAAGTTGAAGCGGAACAGTGCTGTTTCACCCAGTCCTACCTTCCAGCCTTAATGTCTATGAAATCTATTAAATCTATTTTGGGTGGAGGGCTGCTTACTGAGTTTTGGCAAGCTGTCAAGGTCACATGGGTATCCCCGCCCCTTAACAGGTGCCCCGCCCCCTGGGCACCATCTTGTGGTCAGAAATCCCACCCCCTAACCTTGACCTTTGCCCCCAGAAGTACTCCTTTCAGCAAGGGGTTTTGCCATCTTGGAACCAGACAAATACCAAACTATATGCTAAAAATCAAACATCTACAACATTCATGTGATTTTAAAAATTCTTTTTGTCCTGATATACATTCTTTGTGTAGTGTACACAGAGATGATGGCACAATAGCTTAAAATTAAGTCTTACTCTTGCATATTGTTGGGGAGTGGGCACATGAGGGGGTGGGTGTAGGTTTCATAGTTTCTAGGGTTGGAAGGGACCTGAGTAGATCATCTAGTCCGACCCCCTGCCATGGCAGGAAAGAGTACTGGGGTCAAATGACCCCAGTAAGGTGTACATCTAGCCTCCTCTCCTTTGTGGGGGGCTGTGGATGTGTGGGTATGTGGTGTGTGGGGGGAGGATAGGTGTGGGGAGAGAGCATGTGGGTGTGTGTGGATATGTAGGGTGTAGGTGGGTATGAAGTTTGTGGGGGTCTGTGTGTAGGGGGAGGGTGGCTGGGATGTGTGGGGGGATGTTGGTGTGGGGTCTGCATGTATGGCATTATGGGGGGGTGTGGATATGGGTGCACGTGTATGGTGGGGTGTGCATGTGGGACTCTCCCTACAAACACACACACATGCATACACTCTCTTTCTCACTGTGCACGCACACACACACACATACACACCCCTTCCTGCTCCTGGCCCCAGGGTACCGGCATTGGCCCTGTGCTTCTGTGGTCCGGCCATGTAGCCAGGAGCCATGTGGTGCAGGAGCAGTTGGTGGATGGACAGGGAAGTGCTGAAAGTAGCAGCAGGTGGGGGGAGTGGGAGCAAGCAGGACTGGGGTAATAGCTTGCGTTCTCCCCTGTCAATCTCTTCCCCCCTCCCCTCCCTGCATTTTTATCTGAATTCCCTTTTCCAGCACAGGGAGGCAGGAACAGCCCCATGGTCCCAGGGCAGAAGACTCTGCTAGGCAGGGGCTTCTAGTTGGAGGTGGAGGTGGGCCAGGTAGGCCTTGTTGGTGGATCCTGCCGCCAGCTTCCCCTGGCTTGTACTGCCCCTGGCTTCTGTCATCTTTGACAGGCAACCAGGAGAAGATAAATATTAATTTTCTAAAATTTTATGGGCCCTGCAGTCTGGATAGAATGGTCTGGCAGACTGGATCTGGCCTGCGGGCCGTATTTTGCCTGCCCCCAGTTTAAGGGCACAGGAGGCATGCATGATTCAACATTCGCAAGTAGTGTTCCCAGTAAAAGGACACCTGAGAAAGTAAGGTTAGCGCATTTTGAAGAACTTGGAGAAAAAAGGGAGTTTGCTAAGGCAGGCCAGATCACTGTTAATGACCTCAGGAGTGGCAGCTGCCATGCACAGAATATATAGTTTTTTCAAGCAGACAGGGTTATCCCTGCTTAACAACTTTTGGAGAGATGTCAGGGGCCACAAGGGTATCCCCACCCCTTGACAGGTGCCCTGCCCCTTGATTGCCATCTTGGGACCATAGGTCTCACCCCTAACCCTGACCTTACCACTGGAAGTCTCTCCCCTTGCCCCGCCCCTTTCGAACCTTACATTTACACTGTAGCAAAAGAGAAAGTAACTATGTTGCAGCTGTAGATCAATGGAGCCGAG